TAATACAGAAAAAAGAATTCTTCTAGATCGTGTCACTAGAGGTATCCCTAAGCCTACTTATGATCCTGACCTCACCAGTAAGACAAGATACCCTATGAGTAATTATATTTATAATCAGAATTTGTCTAACTCAAATATCACATTTATAAGTCAATTATCTACTGTATCTATTTCTAACAGTGTGCAGGAAGCTTTAGCTGAATCCAGGTGGAAGAATACTATGAATGAGGAGATGAGATCATTGCAAAGAAATAAAACATGGAAATTAATAGATTGTCCAGTTGGAAAGAAACCAGTAAGATACCGATGGGTGTATATTGTGAAATTTAATGCAGATGACATAATTGAGAGATTCAAAGCTAGATTAGTGGCAAAGAGGTACACACAAGCATATGGAATAAATTACACTGAAACGTTTGCTCCCGTAGCCAAAATTAGTACAGTTCAAGTATTGTTATCTCTAGCTGTAAACCTTGATTGGTCCTTACAACAATTTGACGTAAAAAATGTTTTCTTACACGGGGAATTGTTTGAAGAAGTTTATATGAAGCTACCAAAAGGATGTGAGATCCCGAATACACATAGCAAGAAGGTATGCAAGTTGAAGAAGTTATTGTATAGACTAAAACAATCACCACGAGCATGGTTTGGTAGATTTACCAAGTCAATGCTTGCTTTTGGATATCAACAGAGCAACCAAGATCATACCTTGTTTCTAAAGAAAAAGGAAGGAAAGATTACAATTCTTATTATCTATGTTGATGACATGATAGTTACGAGAAACGATCTAGAGGAACGCAAGACATTGAAAGAGTACTTGACAAAGGAATTCGAGAAGAATGATCTTGGTCCTTTGAAATATTTTCTTGGAATTGAGGTCTCAAGATCAAAGTCAGGTATTTTTCTCTCACAACGAAAGTATGCATTGGATTTACTGAAAGAAACTGAAATGACAACATGCAAACCAACAAATTCTCCAATTAAAGAGGGATTGAAGTTGTGCATTGAAGAAGATCAAACTCCAACTAACAAGGGAAGATATCAGAGACTTGTAGGGAGATTGATGTATCTCTCACACACTAGGCCAGGTTTAGCTTATGCTCTTAGTGTGGTTAGCTAGTTCATGCACAATCCAGGTGAAAAACACATGGATACTGTTATACGAATTTTAAGGTACATAAAAGCTGCTCCTGGAAAAGGAGTTATGTTCAAGAAGAACTCCAACTACAAGGATGTGATGGTTTATACTGATGCAGATTGGGCATGTGCTCTTGATGATAGAAAATCAACCTTTGGATACTTTATATTTGTAGGAGGTAATCTTGTCACATGGAAAAGCAAGAAGCAGAAAGTTATAACTAGATCCAGTGCAGAAGTTGAACTTAGAGTAATGGTTCTTGGAATTTGTGAAGGTTTGTAGTTCAGTCTACTTCTCCAGGATTTAGGATATGTATATACACGTCATATTCAGTTGTATTGTGATAATAAAGTTACGTGCGACATTGCTCACAATCCTGTCTAACATGATCGGATGAAGCATATGGAGGTTGATAGATTTTTCATCAAGGAAAAACTTGATAAAAATATTTTGGAATTGCCAAATATTTGATCTGAAGATCAGCTGACAGACATTCTTACCAAAGTTGTGACAAGTCAGATTTTTAAGAGATTATTGGACAAGTTAAGAATGTATGACATCCATTTACCAACTTGAGGGGGAGTGTTAGGATAAAAATATTTGATTAGCTAAATTATAGGTTTGTATAACGGTACAAAATATTGTATAATCAGAACTTTCTTTATTTAGTCCTGATTTGTTGGAGTAAAATACTATAAGATCATAATATATGTGTACAAAAATAATATGAATAAAAATTATAGAATGAATTCTATGTTTTTCAATTGAGAGTTACACTTCCTCCCATTTGTCCCGAACTCAGTTCGAGCATCTCTTTGGTTAGATCATAATTTAGATTAATATCTTGATGAAGTATAATTTCTCGGGGGAGATCTAATTAAGTTACACAACTGCTTTTCTATCTTTTCATTCTTTCTTTCTATAGGCTTCCTCCCACTTGTCCCGAACTCAGTTTAAGCATCTCTTTGGTTAGATCAAAATTGGATTGATGAAGTATAATTTCTTTGGGGAGATCTAGTTAAGATACATAATTGTTTTTCTATATTTTCATTTTGCTTTCTAAAGGCTTCCATTTCTTCTATATGTATTTGCTTAATTCTGTTGAGCTCTACTCGATCATTCTTTATTTGAATCTCCTTAACGTGATATTTTAGACTATTAATGATATTCTCAATATTCATTTTTTTATTAACAAGGTGATTATTGATTGCAAAAAATATTGCCTAATATATATTTCATTGACTCATGGTAAACACCAAATATTCTTACTAAAAAATAAAATATCAAATAATAATAATAGGCTCGGACAAGTCGTGACAACAATTTTTCAACTTCTATTCACACAAGCTATACTTTGCATCAAAAAGAGTAAAAAATTCACATGCAAAGCACTAAAATCAGTATAAGTAATGAGAAATAATTATAAAAATATTTATATAAAATAATAAAATAGTCTTATTTATAAAATTCTTACCTATATTTTTATTTAAATGATAATTCAAACTTATTTAATGTAATTATTATCTCTTTTATACTATATTATATATAATCGAGTAATACATATAATTATTGTATATTATTAGTATAATATGTATTAATATAAATATTATTTTTATTTAATCGGGAATTTTTTTTTTGAGAATTTAAATCTACAATTAATTTTTTTTATCAAAACAGAAACCCTAACTTTAAATATTACGTTTTGAGTTTTCGAAATCTAACAACATAGGATGGATTGATACTGAATGTTATTAAAACATAATCATTTTACTTATTATAAACCATGATAAGATTGAATTACATTCACTAAATCATTATCTCATAAATTCAAAGAATATAAAGGTAGATACATGTAAATAATGCTATTTATATATATGAAAGTGACATTGAAACAATACTTTCAATGAAGGATGTGACTAAAAAGTGTGATGTTAAACAAGTTCCCCATCATTAAGAGCAATGAAACAACTTGCAAGCAACATATTAAATTTATCATTTTCCTTTTAAATAAGGATATATTGGTATTCCATCACCGTTTCTTTTTGCAAATAAAATTGTTTGTTAGCAACGAAAGAATAGTTCAACCAATGCAACAGAATTAGAAGGCTTTAAAATTAGTTAGTTGTAAACACTCGAGTAGTTAGGTCATAAAGTTCTCTTTTTCCACATAATTTTCATTAGTTAGAAGCACATATCAACCTTTATCACTTAATACAATCAGTTAATGGATTTGATTTCTTGATCTTACTATCCTTTTTTTTTGCTTGTTATGGTTTGATAGATTTTTGCATTTTATCGCATAAAGGGTAAAGAAGATGACAAATTTAAAGCCAGATACATTCATTTAGTAACTAAATGTTATTACTTACGTACCTCTTCTAGTAATATAAGCATGCCAAAAATTTAGTTTAAAATCTTCAAAATACAAGTACAAATTTTAAGATTTTGGATTGGCATTTGATTTATATATATATATATATATATATATATATATATATATATATATATATATATATATATATATATATATAGATTACTGTTTAAGGTTCTTTTGGTCAAAATATTATCAGGTAAATGACTGTTTGGTTTTCATAAAATGTAAATTGGTTTGGTTTTAAGTTTTAAAATATAATATAAATACTCTCTAAATATGCTTAAAAAGTAAGACAATTACATCTTACAACATATAGCATAATGATAAAATGGTTTTTAAAATTATTTTTTAATATAAAATTAATTTTAAAAAATACAATTTAATGTTAAATTAGTCTTTACATTTTTATATTTAAAAAATGTTGAAAAATGCATATTTTTTTCTTTCTCCTTTTATCAGGTATGGTCTATTCTGTAAGTTTGGTTGGGGTGTTATTATTATTTGGTTTTGCCTGATTTTTGGTGATATTTATTGTATATAACATGGGTGGTTTCATTTGGAGGGAGAAAACCAATGGGAGTTTTATTATTATTTTTTCATGATATATGACATTGCTATTTTTTCTTGATAAATAATATGATTATTTTTTAGAATGATTCTTGTTATATGGTTTATTTTATTTTTTTAATTATTTTATAGCATTAACATCCACTCTTAGGGTCGGTCTAAGGTTATTATAATGGATAGGGGCTTACAATTTTTACGTTTTCATAACGGTGTATTAATCTGATTTGTCTATCTATTGTTATTTATTTAAATTCTAAATAATTTTGTATATAATATTAGAGCATCTCTTATATTGTTTTAATATTAATTTATTTCTTAATGTAGGAGACAGTTTTTTGTTAAATATCAATAGAATCAAGCACGCAAGTTCTTACTGATTTATTAAAACAAAAATAAGCAACATTATTAAAGAAATGACAACATTAATTAATATATATTAACTATATATATTAATAAAACAGATTTTTAATCTGTTTTTTACTGTATATATATTAAATGTATTACTTTGACTTTCATATATATATATATATATATATATATATATATATATTAATTAGATTATTATCAGTTGTTGACTGAATAATTTCAGTTTGATTTATATATATTTCTATATATATATATATATTTATTAATTCAATATAACATAACATAACATATTTATTAAATTATTTAAAATAAACTTAAATATAATGTACATAGTTTTTCATATTGTCAGTTAATTCAAATGAAAAAAAGATTACATTTGATAAACTATTAATTTCTTAATAATTAATTTGAACTTGTAACATTAAATTATTTTTATAAAGAAAAATGTGAAAATGGAATGATGAGTTAGTCAACGTGACACACCTAAGATGTGTTGATAACCTTTGATGTAATCAGCATTTCAGATAAGATTGTGATATGCGAACGTGATGGTGCATGCCCACACCATGGGCGAATCCTCACCGCAGAGACTCTCCGCGGCGAAATACTAATAATTTTGAAAAGCCAAGGTTGGTTGGCCATTCGTGAGTGGGGAGGATGAAAATTTGAACCTCTTAATTCGTTTGGTGGGACCCAAGCTAAAGATGGAAAAAACAAAACATAGTCAAAGCAAATAAGAAGAAAAGAAAAAGAAAAAAAAAAAGAGAAAAAGAATGCAGAGTATATATAAAGAGATCGAAAGAGAAGGCGAAAACAGAACCACGTACAGACAGCTAAGTTGGTACGTGAGACCCAGTTTCAGATTTGGGTTACAGCTAAGTTTTTTTTTTTTTTTTTTCCTTCATTCTTTCAAGTGTTAAGTTATCACATATATCACCAGAATCTGAAGAGGGTAGGATCCTACAGTGGGTGCCGCCGCAGGGTAATAATTCTCCAACGGGGCATGTTTCATCGGTGAAGTCTGGTGAGGAGAGGTGAGTTTCATACGCAAACTCGTAGTGGGTTGGTTTTGTTTTGTTGTGTTTGTTTTTGTGTTTTTATTTTTATTGTTTTTGGGTTTGTTAATGTGGAAGTCAAAGGTTTCGTCGTTTAGTATTGTGTAGTGTTCGTTTTTTATTCGTCTCCTTTGGAGTTCAGTCGATGGATCCGAGGCACCAATGTGGTCGTGTTTTTTCTTTTCTGTGGGGTGGAATTTTCTTGGGAAAATTCTGGGTAAGTGGGGAAACGGGATTAAAAATAAAAGGGGTGATGATGGTGATGATAATGGTGCGTGGGGAAAAGGTAGCGAATCTGATAAAGATGGAGTCTTTGGAGAGAAACAATTGTGGGAACTGAAGGACACTGGGAAAAGTGAGAGGGATAGAAGAAAGAAAGTAAAGTTGCATATTTTTGGTGTGAAATTAAATTTTGATATGTGGAGAGGGGTAGAGTTAGAGGTGAAAATTTAATGCTACAATATACCCTATCGAATTTGGGTATTGGAGGGTAGGGTCGGGGCTTCGTTTTACTGTTTTTAATGCATTAATTGCAGAAGGAGAAGGAGGAGTGTGAGATGTGTGAAGAGGGATTAAGAAAGAGAGAGAGAGAGAAAGAAGAAAGAGAGAGAGAGAGTAACGGTTGACCATTATGAATGCTATAATTACAACTCATCCATTATCTCTTAGTACTCTGTGGTTGCTTTTATTATTAGTATTAATTAATTAATTGATTAAATTTTTTATTAGCATATCTCTTCCCTTTCCATCACCCTTAAGCATCGACGTACGTTTACCGACATAAGGAAACTCTTTCTCTTCGTCAGTTTTGAACTTCGGTAAATTCTCTTTCTGCTCTGATTTGATCTCAGCCGTATGATTGTCTCTCTTCTATTTTCTGACTTCTTTCATGTTTTTTGTTAAACCAATTTTGATTTTTTTTTTTATAACCAAAAAATTATTATGCACCTTCTGATTTTCGAATGTTGCCAATTTATTTTATTTTTTAACACTTTAATCTGCAGGTGAAGTTAGAATTTTCTCTGAAATTGTCTGTTCTGAAGTTTTTGATAAAATGTTTTGTTTGCTGACAAAATCCTTTTATTTTTTAATATGAGAATAGCTTTTTAGCTCTTGACTATTTTATGGGGATAAGAAGGTTTAGGGATCTGAGATAGATCTCTATCGTTTTGACCATGTTCCATGATTTCCTTCATGCGATTCCAGTGTAAGTTTTCACTCTGCTGGTGTTTTTTTCACTGTACTTTTATCTGGTTTTCTAAACTTGTTTATTCTGATGAGTCAGATCTTAATCAGAGCTAGAGGACAAAGTATTGGTAGGGATTTTGTAGTGAGCCATCTTGTTGTGTAGGCCTTGTGATTTAAAATTTTGCTTTGTAATTTTGTAGTTGAAAATTTTCGAAAAAGTTTGAGATTTTTAAACTTTTTTCTTGTCCTATTATAACTTCTGTACCTTCCTTGGATTCTACTTAGGCGAAATCTTTTACTTATAAAAAGAAAAGGCACAAACTGGTACTTTCTTTTTAGTACTTAAATATTATGATATGTGTAATATGTATATGTTGTGCGGATATTAAAAGCTTAATATAGAACATGGTCCCCAATTTTTCTGGTTTAATCTAAACCTTTGTTCTTAGAAATATTGGTAAATTCTTCATTTCCCTTTCTTATTCTCTCTGGTTTATTTTATAATTGAAGGCTGACTAGAGTTGGATTCTTTTAAGTTTTCTTCATTGTATGGGAATCAGGAATAAAGGGTAATAGTGACAGAATCCGTTGTTCTTTTCTACTGCAATCCAAATAAGTATTTTATGATTAGAGAACTGCTCTTTTCTTTCTTTCTCTTTTCACTTTTTTCTTCTTTTTTGTTCTTTGAATTAAGGTTATTCTTGGAAGCTGTAGAGTAGAATCTTGTGATTGGTGTTTGGCTTTGATTGCTTCTATAGACCATCGAGTCCATTATTGCTTCTTGTTTTCATTATGTACAGTCACTTTAGTTACTTGCTAACATATCATTGTTATTGTTTGCTGATCTTCAGATCCCTGAAGAACAGTGTAATCAGACTAGTGTCTTTGGTTGAACATAGTCGAAGTACCACCTGTGATTGTTGAAGAAAATTTGCCCATGAATTGCTACTTCAGTGCACCATGAAATTAGGTACTGTTTATTTATGGTTTCTGAAATTGGTTGTTTACTCTATCTTACTGACTTTTTACTTGTTTTTTGCTTTAGTATGGGTTGGACAAGTTTTTACTCTATTTCACTGCACGATTTGCGTTTTAACAAGATTGTGACCCCTGAAATGAGGCTCACATACATATATATTTTCAAATTTGTTAGGCCATGATTCTCAGTTCGAGTTGAAGGTGTTTTGTTTCTTGTTCTGTTTGTTGAATGTGGGTTAAGGATGTGCTCTTACTAGTTCTTTTAGGCAATTACATACCTATTTTACTCCCTATGATTTAATTAGTTATAAATGGTATGTGTTTTATGACCAATCTGTTTGAAACGGTATGTGTTTTATTTATGATCTATTTGCTTACTTAGTTTTAAATTCTACCCTAACTAAAATTTGCGGGTATCTTAATGAATGCGCAGAAGGAAAAGTGGCTTTTCGGCATTCAAATATTGGTCTTGAGCCTGAATCTCAGTCATTTGTGTTCATCGACGAAGATCAAATTTCTGATGGATACAAAGTCCAAAATCAGAAAGTGAAGGAATATGAGAATGGAGTGCCTGCTTTTTTAGATAACACCGAACAAGGTTTAAATTCATCACAATATGACATGGAGTTAGTTGATTGTGCAAAAAATGAATATGACGCAAAGGTAAGGGGCTTAGTTGAGCCAGTATCTCATTCTTCGAAGGATATAGAGTCGTTTATGAAGTTTCCGAATGATATAGAATCAGTTAAAAGGCCCCCTACTTCACCAATCTCTAATCCTGGGGTGGGAGAAGACTCGCTTAGGAATTCTGTGGATGTTTACATGGTCAAAACTGTTACAGAATGTGAACCACATCCAGAAGTGCGTTACAATGAGAGTAATTATCATGTTGTCAAGGATATATGCGTTGATGAAGGAGTCCTCAAAAAGGATAATGTCTTGTTTGTGAATCCTTTTGACGAAAAGGTCCACAATTTCTTCCCTTTGGAGGGTTACGAAACTAAAGAAAAGGAGAAAGACAACACCAGTATCAATGTACTAAGCCGAACTCCAACGGAGGAGTCTCATAAGGTTTCTGCTAATCATAATCAGCACAAGGATTTGATACTCACTGATGACGACGCTACTGAAAAAGTTTCTGGTGATGTCAAAGAGATGCCTTCACTGGGAGACAAGGTTTTGTTGCAAGATTTACTCGCTGAGGATTCTGTATCTTCTGATGACAAGGGTGAACAGGTATTTAATATATTATCTACATATTTTGTTTGGAAATATGTTAATTGTTCTTTCGGAAGGATTAAGTTTGGTATGTTATTCAAGTTTTTAAGATTGCTGCTTGTTAGACTAGATACAGCATTGAAAACACAATGTGTTCATGAAGTCACTAGGTGTGCAGCATAACCTAAGATTTCAAAACTTTAAGAAGCATATTATCTAGTATGTGCAATTCCCCTACTATATGAAGTTTTTGGGTTGTTGATTGTTTCCCATTTCTATGTTGTGACAAGCATATCTTTTAGTATTTTTTTTTTTCAAAATTGATATTTGCTTTTTTATGGGGTGAAGACTGAAGGTGTTGGAAAAGATAAATTTCAGAAAATGACATCTGTGTTGAATGTGCAGATCTCCAATGAGCCTGGATTACAGTCTCTGCTGGAAGAGTCCAAAAACACAGTTGAGGAAGCAATATTGGCTAGCGCTTCTTCGGCATTGGCAGATGATGAATCAAAAAATGACAGCAAGCCAGCAGAGAATGCAAGCCTCCCTCATCAATTTGATCCTTCAGCTTCTGCAAATTGTGGTAAAGAAGAATGCCGCCAAGCCGGAGGTTGTAAATGTGATGAAATTCAACATACAAGCAGACCAATAGAATGGAAGAGTGATGATCAGGCTGCAACCAGCCACAGCCACATTCGACACAGCTTAGGCGAGTCAAGTTTCTCTGCCATTGGCCCCATGTCAGGCCGAATAAGCTACTCAGGGCCGGTACCTTATTCCGGCAGCATCTCCCTTCGATCGGATAGCAGCACAACTAGCACCCGATCATTTGCATTTCCCATGTAAAGTGGCAGAAAAATTCTTGAATTGATGATGATACTTTTTGATTGACCTTTTTGGTAAGTAATCCATGACTAATGAGCTGATTTTTCTTCTGCAGAATTCAATCTGAATGGAATAGCAGCCCAGTCAGGATGGCGAAAGCTGACCGGCGGCTTCACCGGAAGCAACGGTGTTGGAGGGTTGGCTTTCTTTGCTGTAAATTCTGAGAGATTAGTTTCCTTTTCGATAGGGTTTAAAGATTCTCATATATCATTAATTCTATCCGAGTTTCATGGTTATACATGATCACCCTAGCTGTTGAGTAGTGTGCAGTAGGTTTAGAATGGTCAGCCAATGCTCCTGAATGTTTGCAGGCAAAAGTAGTCGATTTAGCTTAGCTTGCTTATGCTTCTCTCCTTTTTGCTCTTTTTCCTATACATGTTTTCATTGATTTTTTTATTTTTATTTCATCTACAAACAATTTGCAGTACATATTAGTTTTTCATCATTTTATGTATAACTGCAAGCTTTTCAATTAGAAGGTGGTTAGTTTAATCATTGAAGCCTCTTGATTTGGTTATGAATCTTATTTAAACGTTGCCCATGTTTCTTTTATGACAAATTCTATTCAATTAAGGAATTCAGAATAAAGAATTTTCGTTTGTGTACCAGAATTTTTTTAGTGGAATTGATTTTGCAGGCTTCAAAAAATGACATGGGTGTTACGTTTTAAGAGTATAACGGAGCATAGAATCATTAATCAGTGATGAAGATTACCCAATAAACTTCTTATTATATTTATTAAAAACGCTTCCTTTTTCTTAAACCTGTGCTTGCTTGATTTTAAGTCTTCTTCAAAATTTTCGTTATCAGTGTAATACAGTTCTGTAAACCTTTTCTTCATTTTATCCATTCATTTAGAGCAGTTATTTTATTTTATTTTTAATTCATGTTAAAACATCTTTTAATCCATCTTTTAATCCATTTTTACTGTAGCGGAAAAGGTATACTAAAACAAAGCATTTTAACGTATGAAAACATCTTTTAATCCATTAAAAATTTCTTATTACCATGTTCAATGGTAAAACATTTCAAATAGTTTTCTAAAAGTGATTAAAATATCAAATCATTCAAGAGAATTTTACCTTTAATCATAAATCCTCTTTAAACACATTTAAATCTTTGATCTTTAAGAATATTTAAAAAATAATTGGATTAAAATATACAGATAAACTCCAGTATTAATAGTTTTAACAAACTCTTAAGAGTTGCAACATAGAACATAAAACAAAAACAAGATACATATTGATCATATTCAATGTAATTTGGATAGCAATATGTAATTATTGTAGTGATATTGATACCAATGATAAAGATGATTATTAAAGGGGACAGAGGATTAAACGTTTAGGAATATTTTCATTTTAGAAAATCAGGAAAATAGTTAGCATAAGTAATTTGCTCAATATAATCTAAGAAACAAAGTTGTGCCATGAAAATTTGAAAGCCATTTAAAATGGGAGGAGTGGTTTTAGTCTTTCAACTTTTTAAGAAAGTATTTTCGTGAATGGATTTTAATTTATTTTTTTTGAAGGTGAGAATATAATTTTTGAGGTAAAATAATTTTAGCTATTACAGTAAAAAATATTTATCAACATGATTTAAGATATTTTAGTCAATATATATAAATAAAGAGATATATACCTAATAAATAAAAAAATTTACTTAAGAAAATATTTCATTAATTTTATTAAATTATTTAATGTCATAATAATTTAATTTTTTTAAAAATAAAATTATATTTAAAATGTAAAAACATGTGAATATTCTTAATAATATAATTTATAGTTTTTTTTAAATATTATAATTTTAAAGGTATGTGATTTTTAGGAATCATAATTTCTATATTTGAAAACAATTTATTGTCTACCATAAATTTATGCTAGAATCATTATCTTGAAAATTTTAGTTGAGTTGATTTCGCAGGCTTCAAATAATGACGTGGGTGTTAGGTTTGAGAGTATATTAGAGCATAAAATCGTGAATCGATGATTAAGATTACCCGATAAGCTTCTTATTTTATTTATTAAAAAGTTTTATTTTTTTAATTTTTTTTAATTACTTCCTACGCTCTCTCTCTTTTTTCTTAAACCTGTGCTTGCTTGATTTTAAGTCGTTCTTAAATTTTCGTTATGAGTGTAATACAGTTTTGTAAACTTTTCCTTCATTTTATCCATTCATCTAGAGTATTATTATTTTTTTAAATCTTTCTAATTTTTTAAATTAAAAAATACTTTTTAAAATATTTTACTGTAATATTTTCATATTTCATAATTCTTTCAAATTAAGATTTATTTCTTATGTATCAAGTTGTTTTTCTAAATGAAAATTATTTTAGAGTCACGGATTATATTCTCAGTTATTTGTAAATTTTTAAGTTCTTTTATTATAATATAAAATTGACTGTAAGTTACTTAATTTCAATATAATATGGTATGAATGATAAGTATTTTATACTTGTATAAAATAACTCACATAAAATACTTTTAAAATCTTAGTAATCGAGATTAAAATATTTTTTAACGTATATTTTTATCCATTGTTTATATTTGCTTAATTACTTTTCATTTATTTTTAATAATTATATGATTCATTTGATTTGATGGTTATAATAATAATAAGAATGGATCTGATTATGCTAATCCAACTTTAGATATCTGCCACGGTAGATTAGGAAATTATTCAGATTTGAATTTACAAATTATCATTAACTACTTTTCTTATATACATTTTTAAAAAAAATTACTTAGTTATCTTGGTAAATAACATAAGTTTCTTTTTACGAAACGCAAAATCTGTGTTTGATTTGATATATTTAGATATATGGACCTTTTAATTTTTTCACACCATAAGTGATAACTTCAATGGGGTACACATGGATTTTTCTAATGGATTTTTCTAATGAAGAGTAAGTCAGAAATTAAACGTCTATTAGTTAAGTTTGTCACTCTCGTGCATAATCAATTTGATAAGAAGATTAAGATATTTAGATCTGATAATAATTAGGAGTATGCTCAGAAAGATTTTATGAAAACCTTGAAATAATTCATGGGAAACCCCTAACAAAATTTTGTGGTTGAACATGAACATAAACACGTATTAAATGTTTGTGGAAGTGTTTCAATTGAATATCCCTATATTTCTACTCATGTCATTTTTCATCATGTGTTGTTCATTTAATAAATAAAACACCTCTTATCCGCCTTGAAAAGAAAACTCTTTTGAATTACTTAACAAACAACTTTTTAATTTACAAAATTTGAAGATTTTTGTTTCTTTGTTTTATGTGTCTATGAAAGGAACATATCAAAACATAATTCAAGAAAAATAAATATTATTTCCTTGACTATAAAATTGGTATGAAAGGATATATTATTTGATAAATACATTTTATTAATAATTTTATTAATATAATTTATATATGTTTATTATTATTTTTTAATTAATAAATAATATTTAATTTAGTTTTATAAAAATAAAAAATCTTCATATAAATTATTGTTTACACACACATATATATATATATATATATATAAATATATTTATTTATTTTCTTTTGCAGGAATGATAATTAAAAAAATTATAAAAGCTAAAATCGTGTAAATTCATTGAGCACTTCTAAATTCGTTTAGCGAATCCGACTCGAGAACTCTTCATCCGAAAATCAGCAATTCGCTCAATGCTTTGTTTCTAGTGAGCACTTTTAAATTCGTTGACCGGATATGGATCCGGTGAGCTGAGTTCTTCCGGAGAGCTCATGTAACTAATTTAACTGTAAATTTGCTGAGCATATTAGTCGAATATCAGTTTTCGTAGAATGTTGTATTGAGTTCTATTTTTTAATTATGGATCGAATGAGTCTTAAATGTTTTATATACCTTTGTTGTTGTATAAATAGATCTTCGATGATGTAGAAACATAAGTTAAGTTTGAATCATAATTTATTCATAAGTTTCTCTTTAGTTCAGTTATGAAGATCTTAGTTTTTTGTAGTAATGCATAGCTTCCAAGTTTGTTCATGAAATTTCTTGTACGAATAATGGAATGAAGTTTATCACTTCAAGTTTTCCTTCATCTCAGCTTTATTTCCATTTATCTTAATTGTTTGTTTTTACTTTCTGTTTCATCTTCTTCTTCATTTTCCAATTAATTTCTTTATTATTTCTACATTTTTTTAATTGATCATAATGTTCTAATTCGCTTTTGTTGTTGATTCACCGATTATAATCCATTACAAACATTGTGAATGAGGTTATTTGATTAAGTGTCTTTTACATGACAATTCAACTTTAAAGTTTAAGTGATTGCTTGATTTAGAAATTGAATTGTGAATATGAACTTCAATTGGATTGTATTAATTGGAACTGTTGTGGATTTATTATTGTGATTGCAAGACAATTCCATAGAAAAAAATGATAATCATAAAAACAAGTTTATGATCGAAGAATCAACATAATTTCTTCCCTATTCTTCAACAACTTTTACTTTGATTATGTTTTACTTCTAAACTTAGTTTACAATGTTCCTTAACATTTAAAGCTACTTAGATTAGATTTAAAATGTTTTCAATTACTATTTTTCTTTAATGCTTTCTTTAATTGCTTTCAACGAATAGATTACTGTTTTCAATTTCTAAAATCCCAAAAATCCCCCTATCTTCTAGCTTTTGATTTTGAAAATCAAGATTTAAAACAAAATCAAGCAATTCTCCTTAGGATTCGACCTAGGCCAACCCCTAGTATTGCATTACTTTAATTGCAAATTATTTAATAAAATCTAGACGACAAGATTAACTTTATCATTATTCTTGATCTTGATATTAGAGAAATAAGTGTATCTAGAAACATTATCTTTTATGAAAATTGGTTTCCTTACAAAAGAAAGATTGACAATGATGAGGAAGTTGTGTAATAAACAAGAAACATTCAATTATTTGTTTGATCCAACATTGTATTAGAATGTTGAAAATACTCCAAAATTTAGTCAAGATGAAAATAGAGATGAAGTAAGTGATTGTGGCTTGAGAAGATCCACAAGGATTTGAAGAAATCCTTATTTGAAGGACTTTCATCGTGACATTATGAGCTATGTCAACCAGGATATTGCATTTGATAAGAATAAGGTACATTATCCTTTATCATTTGTTTTGTGTTATGACAAACTTTCTCCAACACAGCTAAAATACAACCTTGCTAATTCCTCTTAAAATGTACAATTAGTTCATTCAAATTCTCGAGTGGTTTGAATCCATGAAGAAGGAATTAATGCTCTTGAGCAAAATAGAACATGATCCATCATTGAATTACCACATGGAAAAAAACCCACTGCGATGCGAATGAGTCTACAAGATAAAGTATAGAGTTTATGACAGTATGGAATGCTACAAAGCAAGGTTTGTAGCTAAAGGATACATATAAATAAAGATAATTGACTACCTCTAACACCTTTTCTCTTATCATGAAGTTGACTATTATTGCACTTGTTTTGATTCAAAACTCGAAATTATGACAATTGGATGTGAATAATGTATTTCTTCATGACGAGTTAAAAGAAGATGTTTTCTTGCTGCCTCTACTAGGATTAACTATAGTAAAGCCTAACTAGGTTTGTAAGTAGATAAAATCTTTATATGGTTTGAAGCAAACCAATAGATAGTGGTTTGCGAAGTTGTCTTTTTACCTTAAACAAATAGGATTCAATCAATCCAACTTTGATCACTCAATTTTTATCAAGAAGAGCACCAATTCTTTCATTACACTACTAATTTATGTCGATGAAATAATCCTTGTGAAGATCTCTCAATCCAATATTCAACAAATAACAAACTACCTTGACAGTGCTTTCAAGGTCAAAGACTTGGCCAACTTAAATACTTCCACAACCTTGAAGTTCTTCGATCAAAACAAGGAATTCACATAAACCAAAGGAAATATAATTTGGATGTTTGGTAGAAGCATTGCATCTAAACCTTGTACTACTTCCATGACCAAGAATTTAAAACAATATTTTAATCAAGACACTACTATTTAAGAAATTATTTCCTATCAACGGTTAATTAGAAGATTCCTTCATCTCACTCACACATGGTTGGATATATGTTTTGTCCTCCAATTCCTTAACCAGTTTCCTCACGCTCCAATTGTGTAACATTTAAAGGTTGTTCAACACATCTTAAAATACATAAAGAACACATTATCACAAGAATTATTCTTTCCTAGTAAATTCATCATTTAACTTAAAGGATTCAATTATTCAAATTGGGTCATTTGCCTTACTACTTGTTGTTCTATAATAGGACATTGTATATTTTTTGTTATTCTCTCACATGCTAGAAAACAAAGAAGCATACTAATGTTTCAAGATCCTCATTTGAAGCCGAATATTATACATTGACTGCCACCACTTGTGAATTGTTGTTGCTAAATTATCTCTTAATTGATCTTGACATATAAATTGTTTCCTGTACAACTGTTTACTATGATGGTCGGTCAACTTTAATTCATCGTTTCCAATCCTGAATCAAATATATTAACATTAATTGTTATGTTATTCGAGAAAGATTACTTGTCCGATTGTTATCGAGCAGTTTTTGGATATCAAACGGACCTCCCCAGAAGGTAATTTTAATGTTATCGAGCAGTTTTCGCTACAACACCAGCTGCTCTAGCTAATTGTCTACCCTTTCCGAGTGTGATTTCTATGTTATGTATGGTCGTGCCTAAGGGCATATAGGTTGAAGTAGATTCTTCTTTTTGATCAATCAAAACCTCTTCCCAAACTGTACAAGCTTCTTACAAAACATACAACTTTTTGGATGTAGCTGATGATATCTATACAGATGGATCTTCTATATATATTGCACAATGAAGTATGATACGTGTGGGTATATAGGAATCCAAATTTGTCGCTCATGTTATGATCTTTTACATCCTAGGTCTTCTCATTCCTTCATCTGACTTATGTTCTTCATGTAGCATTCAGACTGAATAACTCTATGAAACTACGTCACTACTTCCACATGGTAGAGGTAATGTAGGAGACATCTCCCTTTTTCCCAGGGGGAATCCTTAGAATTACCACAACTTAGTTTTTCATTCGCCTCTGACCATCAAATGAAATGTGAATAACCCGCCCTCCCCTGTTTGAAACAAAGGGTGCTTCCGGTTCTGTCGGTGCTTGAAACAATTTTGTCTTCTCCATATTACTATATCTCTAGAGTCAATAATTTGATATGAAGAACTACTGAACTTAATCACTTGCTGCTATTACTCTTCAGTTTTCTGTCGAGGTCTATCCTATAGAGGTACTCCAATTGGATCAGTTATCGATTTCTAGGTTTCACCATAAACCTAGTTGATTACTTCTAATTACGTAAATCAATAGTTCAAATCGCACTCCAATTGGATCAGTGATTGATTTCTAGGTTTCCCATTTTTATAGGAACTTTTGTACCAGAAACAATGGTATCTCCAATTATAGCCCCTCTAGGGTGTAAAATATATTTTTTCTCACCATCCCCATAATGTATGAGATAAATGGATGCATTTTGATTAAGGTCATATTCTATGGTTACGATTCTACCATATATGTTTTTTTCATTCCATCGAAAATCAATTTTACGGTATAGACGCTTATGACCTCCCCCCTCTATGCCCTGTGGTAATTATTCCTCTGGCATTATGACCTTTACCACAATGATGTTATCCATAGATCAAATGATTTCGTGAATTGGATTTTACTTAACTGTCTATGACTTCATTGCGTGTGCTTGGGGTAGAAGTTTTGTATAAATGTATCGTCATGATATTACGTATTTTGATTTAAGTTCTTTTCTTTCTAAGAGGTGGAATAGAATAACCCGGTTGAAGCGTAATGATCACACATCTGTAATGCATTGTATGTCTCATAATAAGTCGTACTCTTCTACCCTTTACCGGGAGTCGATGACTATTCATAGCTATTACTTTGACATCTAAGAAGAGTTCAACCTAAGACTTTATTTCTGTCCTAGTTGATCCCAATTTGACATTAAAAGTATATTGATTTTTCCGTAACAACTGAATACTTTTGTCTGTAAATACTGCATATTTTATTTCTTTCATAAATCTATTTTCTTCCCTATGAGTTCTAGTCTCAATTAAAATACTAGTTTTTACTGTTCATATGTTATGATTTGAATAAACCACACCAATTCGTTATGTATGGATGATGAGATTCCATTGATATAGAGTCACTCGTTCTTTTTTCTCTGACAGATAGTCAGAACTTCTTCTGGGTTCGAATCCTACTGATAAGTCTACTAGAGATAAGAAACTGTTGAAAAAAGAATAAACGAAATATCTTGCTCTTTCCAGGTGATTGGAAAAGAAAGAAATAGTGAATTTCTTCAAGATAATGATGTACTTACAAAATACCATCTTAATTCATCCTATTTCATCATATTGAGGATGTGATATGGTTCCAAAGGGTGAACTGGATAGTTCCAATAAGATTTCATTCTTGAACAAAAATCCGATAGACTTTTTGGAGGGAGGGTCCCATTGGCGTGCATCCAGTAGGAATTGAACCTACGAATTCGCCAATTATGAGTTGGGCGCTTTAACCATTCAGCCATGGATGCTTAGCGGGAATCCTCGTACATGGTGAATAACCAAATTCCAATTGAAGTGAAATCTTTCGGATAAATCAATGCAATTAGGAGGATTCGATGAAAGGACATCAATTCAAATCCTGGATTTTCGAATTGAGAGAGATATTGAGAGAAATCAAGAATTCTCGCTATTTCTTAGATTCATGGACCCAATTCAATTCAGCGGGATTTTTCATTCATATTTTTTTCCATCAAGAGAGTTTTATAAAACTCTTGGACTCCCGAATTTGGAGTATCCTACTTTCACGCAATTCACAGGGTTCAACAAGCAATCGATATTTCACGATCAAGTATGTAGTACTCTTTGTAGTAGCGGTCCTTATATATCGTATTAACAATCGAAAAATGGTCGAAAGAAAAAATCCCTATTTGACAAGGCTTCTTCCTATACCTATGAATTCCATTGGACCCAAAATGATACATTGGAAGAATCATCTGATTCTTCCAATATCAATAGGTTGATTGTTCCGCTCCTGTATCTTCCAAAAGGAAAAAAGATCTCTGAGAGTTCTTTCCTGGATCCGAAAGAGAGTACTCGGGTTCTCCCAATAACTAAAAAGTATATCATGCCTGAATTTAACTGGGGTTCGCGGTGGTGGAGGAACTGGATAGGAAAAAAGAGCGATTCTAGTTGTAAGATATCTAATGAAACCATCGCTGGAATTGAGATCTCATTCAAAGAGAAAGATATCAAATATCTGGAGTTCCTTTTTGTATATTATATGGATGATCCGATCCGTAAGGACCATGATTGGGAATTTTTTGATCGTCTTTCCCCGAGAAAGAGGCGAAACATAATCAACTTGAATTCGGGACAGCTATTCGAAATCTTAGTGAAAGACTGGATTTATTATCTCATGTTTGCTTTTCGTGAAAAAATACCAAAGGAAGTGGAGGGTTTCTTCAAACAACAAGGGACTGGGTCAATTATTCAATCAAATGATATTGAGCATGTTTCCCATCTCTTCTTGAGAAACAAGCGGGCTATTTCTTTGCAAAATTGTGCTCAATTTCATATGTTGCAATTCCGTCAAGATCTCTTCGTTAGTTGGGGGAAGAGTCCGCACGAATCGGATTTTTTGAGGAACATGTCAAGAGAGAATTGGATTTGGTTAGACAATGTGTGGTTGGGAAACAAGGATCGGTTTTTTAGCAAGGTACGGAATGTATCATCAAATCTTCAATATGATTCCACGAGATCTAGTTTCATTCAAGTAACGGATTCTAGCCAATTGAAAGGATCTTCTGATCAATCCAAGGATTATTTCGATTCCATTAGGAATGAGGATTCGAAATATCACACATTGATCAATCAAAGAGAGATTCAACAACTAAAAGAAAGATCGATTCTTTGTTGGGATCCTTCCTTTCTTCAAACGGAACGAACAGAGATAGAATCAGAGCGATTCCTTAAAATCCTTTCTGGATATTCCTCAATGTGCCGACTATTCATGGAACGTGAGAAGCAGATGAATAATCATCTGCTTCCGGAAGAAATCGAAGAATTTCTTGGGAATCCTGCAAGAGCCACTCGTTCTTTTTTCTCTGACAGATGGTCAGAACTTCATCTGGGTTCGAATCCTACTGATAGGTCTACTAGAGATCAGAAATTGTTGAAAAAAGAACAAACGAAACATCTTGCTCTTTCCAGGCGATCGGAAAAGAAAGAAATAGTGAATTTCTTCAAGATAATTATGTACTTACAAAATACCGTCTCAATTCATCCTATTTCATCATATCGAGGATGTGATATGGTTCCAAAGGGTGAATTGGACATTTCTAATAAGATTTTATTCTTGAACAAAAATCCATTTTGGGGTTTATTTCATTTATTCCATGACCGGAACAGGGGGAGATACACGTTACACCACGATTTTGAATCAGAAGATATATTTCAAGAAATGACATCTATTCACTCTATCAATAATCGAGTCGGATCTGGTGTATCATAAGGAATTTGATTTTTCTATTGATTCCTCCAGATTGAATAAAAAAAATTTGTTATTGAACTCCAGGGATGAATCGAAAAAACACTTTTTATTGGTTCTACCTCCTCTTTTTTATGAAGAGAATGGATTTTTTTATCGAAGGATCATAAAAAAATGGGTCCAGACCTCTTGCAGGAATAATTTGGAAGATCCAAAACCTAAAATTGTTGTATTTGCTAGCAACAATATAATCAGTGGCGGATCTTCTTGGGAGCTGAGGGGGGCCGTGGACCCCCCAAAGTTTTGTAACTCCCATGTAATTTATGATTTTGGCCCCCCCAAACTTAATTAACATTTAATATATTTACTTGTATATTTACAATTTTATCCTCTCAGCCCCTCCTCAGTTTTATAACTCTTATATAATTTATGATTTTGTCTCTCTCTAACTTAATGATCATTTAATATATTTAAGTATATATTTACAATTTTATCCTTTTACCCTTTTATCTTCTTTCTTCCTTTTATATTTATTAATAATATATTATTTGGCCCCCCCAAGATCAATGGTCAAGATCCGCCACTGAATATAATGGAGTCAGTCAATCAATAATCAATATAGATTAATCCAAAATCCGATTCAAATCCAATATAACACCCATGGTTACATAAGAAATGTATTGAATCGATTCAATTGCAACTTTGAATATAGAATTCAAAGGTATCAAATAGGAAATGATACTCTGAATCATCGAACTATAATGAAATACATGATCAACCAACATTTATCAATTTTAAAAAATAGTAACAAGAAATGGTTCAATCCTCTTATTTTTATTTCTTGAACGGAGAGATTTATAAATTGGGATCCTAATGTATATAGATACAAATGGTCCAATGGGAGCAAGAATTTCCAGGCACATTTGGACTATTTCATTTCTGAGCAGAATAGTCATTTTGAAGTAGTGTTCAATAGATTACATATTAATCAATATTCGATTGATTGATCTGAGGTTATCGACAAAAAAGATTTGTCTAAGTCACTTTGTTTATCTTTGTCCAAGTTACTTTTTTTTTCCCAAGTTTCTTCTCTTTTTGTCTAACTCACTTCCTTCTTTTTTCTTTGTGAGTTTTGGGGGTATCCCCATTCATAGGTCTGAGATCCACATCTATGAATTGAAAGGTCCGAATGATCCACTCTAGAATCAGTTATTAAAATCAATAGGTTTGTAAATCTTTCATTTGAAAAAAAGGAAACCCTTATTATTGGATGACCAAGATACTTCCCAAAAATGGAAATTCTTGATCAATGGAGGAACAATATCACCATTTTTGTTCAATAAGATACTAAAGTGAATGATTGACTCATTCCATACTAGACGTTCCCACCGCCTCTTGATTAAAGGTTAGGTTTGAATTCAACAATGGAGTCTTTCTCCTATCTAATAATTAATAAGATTTTTTACAATATTAATTTGTTTTTTTTTAAATCAATATTATCAATTTTTATTGATTCAGAACTCTTAATCTATATACGTTACAAATATATATATATATATATATATATATATATATATATATATATATTATTTTTAGATGAATGCTTTATTACACTACCTTTTCTGAGATGACTCATAAACCTTTAATATTCAAATTCTATATCATTGATATATTTTTATCTCTTTCTTTCACTCGTTAAATTATTGGAAAGCGTCCCAAAATTATCAATCGCAGTATAGTATTTCGATTAAATAAAAGTTGATCCCACGAGGAACGGTTTCAATGGAAATTCTCAATTATATGTTTACTAAGTAGATTAAAACAAATTGAGTTTTGCATAAAGAGTTGAATTGAAATTAAATGATAAATAACTGTAAATTGTTGAGAAAATATCAATTAAAGGCACTTAGGATTGACTTCCTTCATTTTCCCTCTTTTGTAATGACTATGCGTTTCTAGTGAAAGTTTGATCGATTTCGATTTTTAGGAGACCTAGGTTCTAATCAAACTTCAACTACGTAGATTATTTTTACTTAGGCTAGCAAATAGTTTTCAATCGAAACATGCATGAGAATCGAAAATCTCATAGTATCGATAAACGCTAACAACACAACCTAGTGAGCAGATTGACAATCGAAAGTACTATTTTTAGTATTTTTTATTAAGAAACGTGAAGTAAAGAGAACAATAAAGGGTATCGAAATGAAGAGCAATGCATAATATTAAATTGCAGAGAAAGGTAAATGACCATGACTTGAAATTGCAAAAATGTAAGTGGCGAGGAACTTAAACGCAGAATTTTAACTCGCATAAACGTAAATGACAAGGAATTTAAATTGCAGGAAAAGCAAAGAGCAGGAAATCGAAATTCCAGAAGTAGAAATTGATAAATGTAAATGACCGAACGAACATAAATTGCATGAAAGTGAATTACATGAAAGTAAATTACCAGGGAAAGTAAATAAAGCGGTAAAGACAATCAATGAAAATGGAAATCCAGAGCATTAGAAACTTCATGATGCGTTATTCTTCTGTAGACTTTTCACTTGCGTTTTTGTCTTCTCTGCCAATCTCCCCTTCTTCTTCAAGCTTCGTTCTATTTATAGGCATCCTTCAATATAACCTCCCAAGAGCAGTTAAAACTGTCACCACGTTCCATGTGCACGTTCCTCAATTTTTACCTTAGTTTACGGTTTAGAAAAAACCGCTTCCACGTTCAATATGCATTATAACCGTCTCTCGATTTCTAACTTCAACCGCGATGTGAAAGGCCACTCTTCGTGTTCTATCTGTATGATAATTGTTTCCCTCGATCTCGATTCCAGTTATCGAGTCTGATTTCCCTTAACCTTGACTTTATCATTACTTTCCTCGATTTGTTTCTCCCTTTTCTAATTTTTGATTTCCATTCTCGATTTATATGTTCTTACTATCTCATGGTCACCGGGCATCCTCCAACCATCTTTCCAATTTATCGACTTTTTAACAAATATCGTATAGTATTCGATTTTCTTTCTTCTGTTTTTCGATCCTTGTATCGATTTTTTACTAACACTATGTCAATTAAAAACATCAATTAACCTAACAATGTTGATGCCACCTACTCAAATCATCCATGTTGACTCCTCACACATGAAATTCATAAGAAAACCTAATAAATGTTGATTCCTCACACAATTAAGAGATTTTCTAGAATTAGGTTTAGGGTGTTAAGCAATTGATACATTCATTCCATTCCTGGTAATTAACATAACAAATATTCTTACCGTGATCTAGGGTTCAAGATATATTTTCCAATCATATCCCAAACATCAAGAATAAATCATTCCAAAGCACAAAGGATAAGAATAACAACATCAAACATAGATTAATATCTCAAAATATCACCATGATACAAAAGAGTTCAAAGGAAGTGCACCAAATCCCAAGAGAATGAAGTTAGTCACTCATGTTGGCCATTACAATGCTCCAAATGAGGAAGAAGTGAAGAATTTAAAAGATTGGACGAAACCCTAGCAGTAGTCGCGTCTCTTCTCACTAAAACCACTTTCTTTTCTCAAAACACATCTTATCTTTTTATAGGTAAAATTGGGCTTCACGTCTTTCGCTCAAGCGAAAGTTTCCTATTTTCGCTCAAGCGACAAAACGTTCGCTTGAGCGAGTGAACTCCAGAGAAGAATAACTAACATTCGCTTAAACGAATTTTCTTGCCCTTGAGCGACTGACTTCCAAAGAAGAATAACTGATATTCACTCAAGCGATAGTCCATCTCGCTCAAGCAACTTCCATGCTGAAAATCTTTTTCCTTCTTCTAATTTTACTCCAACTATACTGACCATTATGCTCCTTACTCTTGTATCAAGGTATTCTCGAATTCATCCTATATTGAGAGAAAATAGATTAGAATTAATATAAATTAAATTATTTCATAACAATTCAAGGCATAGTTATAACAACTTTTTACCACTTAACATTCACCTCTTCATTTATCTATATATTTTTATTGCTTTACAACTAAATAATCTTTTTTTATTTCATGATTTACAATATTTTGGTTGCTATAATATTTCTTTTTTTTCATTTTATATTTTTTGTTTTGACTAGTTCGTTAGCTCTAGATAATCCAAAGTGATGCGTTGGTTATTAGTTCTTTTTGAGTTAATTTATACTATTAATTTAACTATTAGCCGATTTATTTTTTTGTTAAATTTGAATCATTCTAAAAAACTAACGAGTCACACACTAAGTATGATAATACTATTTAGAAAGATTAATTTCATTTTTTAGTTAATTGAATCTTATAAAATAGATAATTTTTGGAGAATAAAAATCGAGTAATTTTTTATTTTTTGTTTTAGATAAAATAAATATAGGACATTTAAGATTAAAGAATAATATCTTTTTATTTAGTTAGAAAATATCCAAACTTTGATCCCTAAAACTCCATAAATAGTTCGAACTGTATAACAACAATATTCAATTTTAGCTCGAATGGTTTGTAGAGGAACCCTACCTTCTCTGATCCATTCTACACGCGCAATTTCTTTTCCATCAATACGTCCTGCAATCTGCACTTGAACTCCTTTTGTACCTGCTTGTTCAGTTAATTCAATAGCTTTTTTCATTGCTTTACGAAATGAAACTCTATTCTTTAATTGTCCAGCTATAAATTCTGCAAGAATATTAGGATGTTTATAAGCATTTGTAACTTTTACAATAGCAATGTTTAGTTTTCTATTCACACAATTCAGTTTTTTTTGCATATTCGTTTGTAAATTTTCCATTTTTTGAGGTTTACCCTCTATTAATAACTTGGGAAATCCCATATATATTATGACTTGAATCAAATCGATTCTTTTTTGAATCTTTATCTGTCCAATTCCCTCTACACCTGAGGATATTCTTCTATTTTTTTGTATATAATTTTTGATACAATCTCGTATTTTTTTATCTTCTTGTACATTCTCGGAATATTTTGTTGGTTGTGCAAACCAAATAGAATCATGACTTTGAGTTGTACCAAGTCTGAAACCAAGCGGATTTATTTTTTGTCCCATAATTCCTCATTACTTTCTAATCAACATGCTCCAAATTCTATTTTTTATTTTTGTATTTTTCTATCTATAGATATAGATAGATATAGATCTTTATAACTCATTAAGTTTGTTGAAATTTCTATTATGACTAGCATGACTACTGGTAAAAGAAACAATTCAAAAAATAAAATAAAATAAGATATTCAACTAAATAAAACATAAATTATAGTATCATATTATTTTCTTTATATACAAATTACATTAATCATTATTTGTACTTTGTGTTTCAAATAAATATGAACCTTTTTTTATTTGACCAAAAAACAAGACTTTTTTCTGTATAAAAGTTCTTCTTTATCGTAAGAGTCAAATAAATGAAAGAAAATATTTCATTTATTTTATTATTAATTAAAAAATAATTTAATTATTATTATGAATTATTTAATGAATTTAAAAAAATGATTTGAACTTAATTTGACTAATAATTCAATTTTGTAATATTTATTTATGTATTAATTAATTTTTCAATTTCTTCCAATTTCTTTTGCATAACAACTCGTCGTTATTTTCAAGAAGCCATTTCATCATGGTTCCTTCTCTAAAATTTTGTCCAAACTTAGTGTATTAAATTATACAAAATACAACACGAGGGAAGCTATTTAATATGTTGTAGTTTTAACGTTTATAATTTTTCTATAATTTTCATTATATCTTTTATATGTAAAATAACGTTTTTATGATATAAGATTCTAATTTTTCTTTTATCACCAGGCCCACCATATATATTTTTTCTTTTAATTATAGAAATAGAAAAAGATAATTGGGTCATTTCATTTTATGAGGACATTTGAGGTCCTCAAATCCTCTACTCGTGGGAGGTAGTGGTTGTAGAATCTGTTGTTTAACATTACTCAAATCCTCAAAATCCTATAAAGATTTTTTAATTGTATTTTCTTAGGGTTATTTTTCAATATGAATAAGTTTAAAATGTGCTAGTTTTATATATATATATATATATATATATATATATATATATATAAAGACATTGTTCAGTTTTTAATTCTATCATAATTATGTTTACAATTTTCTTTTTCAAATAAGAATTTTCTTAGTTTCTGTGTATGAATGTTTATGTTTTCACTTTAGTTTACCAAGGCATCAGTTTAATTCCATTTTTCAATTTAAATCATTTCTTGCCATTAATTATTTACATTTACCTTTATATTCAAAATCTCTAAAAATTTACTTACCTTTAAAAGAATCTAAATAAAGAAGATTTGATTGTATGTTCAAATTACATTTGGAATCAAACGGTGACATTTGTTTAATATGTAATAAAAAATTAAAATTCACCTTAAAACGATAATTTACTTCTCCCATTTGGTTAAAGCAAATTCATCGAGAACCAAAGAAATTGAAGGATATCTAGAAAACTGATTATTTAAATATAATTACAATTTAATTAACTTTGACATTTTTGATGTAATTTTTTTAAAATATATTTATGGTTAAGTTTGATAAAAATCTCCAATAAACATGATTAAAAATGATGTTAGTACTATATTTTTTAAATGGCAAAAATTAGATGAATTTAACTAATATTTTTAATTAGTATAAAATTATGTTTTTTTTTTTTTGCTTATTGTTTATAAACAAGTTGAGGCAAAAGGTAGCATAGTCTATGTTAATTAATTTGATTATTTGTATAGGTTAGATATTGAGTTGAAGTAATGTAATAAATGGAATGTTTAGACAAAACTTTCTGTTAAAAGAGCAACACAAAACTTAAAATTTTTTTAGATAAGTTAAATTCTGTAGAAGTTTTCTTATATTATTATTTTTTAAGCTGTTTTTCTTTTTTACTTGTGTAGATTAATATTAATTAATATATAAATATTTTTCTTTTAAAAGTGCTTATAAAAAAATTGTCAAAAAAAATGAAGTTGACGTTGCAACAGTATTAGAGCGGCCCAAATAGCCGGGAAACAATAAAGCAAAAATGCTTGCTTTTTCTGCACAAATGGTTGTGTGTGTCCTGTTTTTATTGGGAAATTTTGGGACCACAGCATTAAAACCCAAAATTTTGGGAAATTAAATAAATTTATAATTTTTTTTAATTCTTTAACTTTTTATTTTTAATCTGTGTAACTTATTTCAATTTATGAGGATTTTTTTATTTTATTTAAGTGTTTATAGGATGAAGTTTTTTTATATATATATATATAGTTTTAAAAATATTTAAAATTAAACTAATTCAAAAATTGATAAAAAAATTGAAAATAGATTAAAATCAATTTATTTTTAGATTTTTTGGATTGAAAAAAAAATTAAAACCGATCCGATTCAATTTTTTATTTAACAATCAGCAAGCACCAAATCAAAATTTATATATATAAATTAATTGAAATTAAGAATATTAAGAATATTTTTATAATATATTTTTTATTAAATAATTATTTTATTATACTATACTTAATAAATTTATAATAAAAAATAAAAAATATTTATTTTATTTAGTTTATATTTTTTTAAAATAAAAATCAGCCTAAAATCGAACTGGGTTTGGTTTTTGTAATTTTTTAATAAAAAAGAAACCAAACGGTACATGCATAGATAATTTTAACTTAAAAATAATGCAAAAATGAGGATTAGAATAAGTGATCGAGTATGACATATTTTTATGTTTGGGAGGCACATTTGGACAAAAAGCTAACTTCCTGAAACCCTGCGCCCTAAGGTTTCATGAAAAACGTTGCATGTGCCCAGCTTCGAAAACCGTAACTATTTCTTGGTCGATGATGAATATGTGTGTCTTGACTACGACATGGAAGCTTGACGTGCTACCATCACATAAACTTGAATAATTTGTTTGATTCAGTTCGCAGTTCCCACTTAACAAAACCATGAACACTGAGCATATTTTCTTGACCTGCATCAATGTCGGTCCACTTGGGTGAGTTTCGAGAGCCTAAAATGGTGGTAGTTTAGTGGAACAAAATAGTAACCACGTACTGTTGTACAACTGTTATGCCATGTGAATCATCATACAAATTTCAGTTTACTATGCATCATCTTCACTTTCTAGGTACGTAGTCTGCTAGCTAGAAAGTTCCATTCCCACATCTCTTTCTCATTATGGGAAGCACGTATCGCTGGATTCAAAGTATTTATGTTGTGTTGTTATCTCTTTTTTAAATAATTATGAATTCAAAATATGATGATTTCTTCTGTTTGTGATGTTTAGAAGAATATGTTTATAACATATGTTGGTTAGTGGAAATCATTTATGTTCAGAAGAATATGTTTATGACATAAGTTGTCGTGTGATATTTTTATTCTTATATATCCTTCAATGATTCGATTTAATGAGAGAATTTTAAGAAGATTTTTTAAGATTTAAATTTTTCTAAAGTAAATTATCGTTTCCTTTGTAAAACTTTAATATCGAGTCATATATCTTCTTACAGTTTACTTCAAAACGTAAACTTTCATTTTGTCTCATCAACACCAACACTTTGCCTAATCAATCACACTTCTAGTAGTTCTTTCAATTTACTTATTAAGATTTTGGCTACAATTTTATACATACAATCTCATGAGTAAGGTCTAAAATAGCCTAAATGTTAGGAATTTTTATCCATGTAATGTAAAATGAAATTTTTATGTATTTTTTTCTCATATTAGTAACTATTGAACTTAAAAAATAAAAAAATGTACTATAATTTTTGAAATTGAAGATTTTTTTTACATTGAATCATATGAAGTAAAAATTGAAATTTATTATATGATTTAACATAAAAAAAAAACTTTTATCCCTTTTTACTTATTCAATGGAGTATTTAAGATATTGATTCTTTTTAAACCCAAAATATTAAAAAAAATAAATAATTAAAATTATTATTAAGAATAAGTTAATTCTATAATTAGGCATATTTTAAACTCTTGACTTATAAATGTTTATTGATGGATTATAATTGTCAAGAGATTGAAATTATAATTAATATCTAGGTTCAATTATTTAAAAAACTAAAATATGAATTATTAGTGAGTTGATAATATTATTAGGATTTACCAATATAGTTGTTTTCATGACAAGTGACTGAAATCTAACCCTAACATTTTACAGTATTCTATCCCATTTTATTTATCAATTGTTCAATAAATTATTTAATTTAAAGTTTGATTTCTTTTGTTTTATCTTTATCTTTATCTTTTAAAATATATATATATATATATATATATATATTTACGTTTTTAAATAATTAAAAGACATTCGAGGTAATTACAAAGTTTTTACATTTTATAAGGATTTTTAGAAGAATTTTTAATTACAGAGACTTAATTAAAATATCAATAAAATGATAGAAATCTACAAATTTAATTGATATGTATAAAAATATTGAAAAATGACGTGTGAGTTGAAGTGTAACGAGAAAGCTAAATAATTTATAAATGTATATCGGAATATTATCTTCAATCTCACATTAGAGAAAAATCATAATTTATCTTCGATGGTGCACATCAATTTTATCTAAAAAAGAAAGTATCTCAATTTTATATTTATTATAATATTATTACTAAGATTCATTATTCTTCACAATAGAATTCTATCATAAAATATTTATAATCTCAATTATTGAAGAAGATAAAACTTATAAGTCTGCGTCGGAAATATATTTATTAATAAAAATTATATTTTATCTCTTTTATTCTATATGCTTATAACGAAGAAAAAAAAGTCACTAAAACAAATACGTAAAGTTACTATGATGAGTCAATAATGTGTTCTAAAGCAACAATAAACAATGACAATAACTTTATAGGTGAATTTTGTCATTGAAAATGTCGTATATATGACTAGGATAGGAGTCAAGAATTCAAAGCACAAGTTATATATCATAAGTAAGGACTAAGGAGAGAAAGCTTCCATAATGTCTTATACAATAAAAAGGATAAAAATTGCCTTGTGCAGAAATAACTGATCATCCCTATCATGATCACTGACATCATTGAAGGAGTAGTGCAACTGCATATCTTATTAAGAAATATCTTTAATTCCTATAATAGAAACATCAGATCAAACTCTGATGATGATGAAATCATCAACATGTCAAATAGCTATGTTCTATCTTTATAGTACAGGCAAGAGAAGATGGAACTGGTTTTGAATCTAGAATGTGTGGTTGAGGGAGCAATGCACTGAGATAAAGCAAAGTTATAACCCGAAGTAAGAAACCGAGGGCCCTACAACATTAGGTAAAAAAAATCAACAACCTGAATTGCGTGATGCCTCCTAAAAAAGTAAGTAATGAATATTTAAGATTTTCCTGCACTTGTTTCGGAACTCTTCATTTTGTGCTTTGTGTTTGCTTTCTCTCTCTCTCTCTCTCTCTCTCTCTCTCTCTCTCTCTCTCTCTTCTCAGTGTGTGAGGTTTCCTTCTTGGGTTTGTATATAAGCCAAACCTACCTGCTGAAAAGAAAGTATATTTGTGCATCTTCTGAAGAAAAGAAATGGAGCTGATAATCGTCATCACTCTTCTTAGCTTTTCCTTCTCTTATCTACCAGCTTGTTCTTCTTCCCAAATTCAATTTCAACCTTCCTTCCAGCTTCAAGGTGAGAACTAATTAACCTTCTCTCTTGCCTCTCTTCGTCGACTTCTTCATGAACTTGTTTTAAATGAATGAGTTTCCAAGTTCTTGTTTAGTCCTTATATTATTATCACTATATCAAACAAAGTACTTATTATAACTCTTCATATTCTTCCTTATAGATGATAATATAGGAGCAGTCAATACAAACCTGAAGCTCTCTCTCCCAGCGGTTCCTAGAAAGCTAAGATTCACAGAGAAAGTACTGCATGAATCTAAAGAAGCTTCTTTTTAGTACTCTTGAATTGTTTTCATGAATACTTATGTTCTTTATTCCTTGTAATTTTCCAAAAAATAGGTTAAAGAAGATGAAGAAGCCAGAGATCTTGGATCACACAAGCAGGATAATTCCTTTACTGCAGCAGGTAATGATCAACAAAAAATGTTATTAATTATTACTCAAGAAATCATTGGACTGCATGAATGCAAAGAACTTCCTTGTTAATCCTATAGCTTGTTGAATTCATGCAATCTCTCATATCTCAAAAGCTTTTCATGGACACTATAGGTAAGCCGCAGCCTAAATCTATTTACTTTCCAAGGTTCATGCACCAAATCAAGTGAGGTTAATTCATCCTAAGGGGGTAAGCAAAACGTGAAAAATGGAAAGTAGTGAAAAGAGTTGCATTTGTGGACTTTAGTGTTTAACATATCCACCTTTTCTCTAGTATATGTGCTATCACACTTCTATAAACACTTTCATCCACTTCTATCTTATCAATATTCATTGTTTGACATGAATATGCATGTCTTTATGCGCATATTTTCCATATTAAGTCATAAAGAAAAGCTCTAGCCACGTTTTACATCTTCACTTAAATTTACTATATTCACTTTTCTTTATTACCATGGAAAATGGATTAATACAAGTGACAAGGACTCATTTTAATAGTTCTATATGAGTTCTGATGATGTCATTTTAAATATAAAATAAATTATATTAGAAATAATTATTCATATTGTGTGGCTTTAGGGTTTTGATTGTACTAGTTATTACTTTTAATGATGAATAGTCTTACTAATAACATAAAAAAAAAAATCTTTTTTTAATAAATCAAAATATGTTGATGAAATATATATGAGTACAAGGTTCCGCCTTCTCTAATAAATAATTATGGATATAGATAACGGGTTAGCAAAACTCTTGTGCTCTACAATATATAGCAAAATAATTAATTCTATTCCTCAATAAAAACGAAAATTTCGGAGTTTGGAGAACAGAAGAATTGAGCTTGAGGAGTCATGCGAATGAAGTGAAACCCACTTTTGGCATATCTTCAAAAGCAGTATAATGCCTGTGTTTCATAATTGAGCCTAAACAATATTCTATATATGAATCGGAAAAGGATTGCATATTATACTTTATATTTGATTTGAAACCATGCACTATATTAATTTAATTGAAAATAGAAGATTAGTTCAACATGTTTATGAAATCATGCAACTTTTACAGGGAAGCAATACCACAGAAAGCAAAACATGGTGCTTGGGAAAAAGGGGACAAAACAAGAATGGATGGAGGTGGATGACCCTTCACAATACTTAACCATCGATTATACCCGAGTGAGAAGACGACGTCCCATACACAACAAGAATTTGCCGGTTGGTCCATAAGCATGGTGAAGAGAAGATATCATATCCATAACCTGTTGGAAGGCCTTTTAGGTTACAATTTTGCCAAATGTGTGTGTAATTAGGAACATGTGGAGTGTGTCTTGTTCTTTCAATTTTGCCTCTAATAACCAGTTTGGGGAGTAAAACCCTAAAAATTGTATGAAAACTAAAACTTCACCTAACTAATTAACAAATACCGTTAGTCTTAATTAATTATTGTTCTCAATGAATTTCTTTTTCTTTTCCTTGGTGTTAGTAGTCAAAGGGGAGGGGATTGCCATGGCCAACATTTCGTAAAACATGGTCTCGAAAAGTTAAATTTTGATGGTGGAACCCAACATAACGTGCTTGATTATCGTAAATAAATGTTTTTAAGGAGTCATGGAAGAATGCTATTACCATCGTGATTTAGACTAAGCATTGACATCCAAGTTGAACCCACAATCCATTTGCTAATTTTTTTTTCTAACATTCTTCCCTCATGTGTATAGCTCGGAGGAAAAATAAAAGATACCAAGATAAAGATTAAATTGCAATTTTAACTTTTGAAGTTTTTTTTTAATCTGGTTTAATTGAAATATAAACTTAATATGTTTATTTAAGATGTTAATAAAGAATAATTTAATTAATCAAAATAAAAAACATGCACAAAATTAAGAATTAGACAAATTTAAGATGTTAACACTAATGTTTTGATGTTAGTCAAGGTTTACAAATACGTTCTTTTCAACCATTTTTCTCTGTAATATACAAATTGTTTGACACAGGTTTATTTATGTTTATTATATTTCCTTTCCCATTTATATCAATATTGCCCTAAGGTTGAGATTATGAAAAGCTAATTCTAAAGTAATATGGTATTCTCGAATAACTTTAGTTACATCATTCTTTTTCATTGCACTAAGTAATGTTGAATGTGTAGAGTTTCTCTCAAGATTGGAACAATGTTATTGATTGAATAAGAGGGTATAAGTAATTGAGAGTAATTGGTAAAGAAAAGGTTGAGAATGATCCTCTTATATCATCATGATAAACCATTCATAAAGAACCTAATGTGTTTTAAATAATGTTATCCTCCACTTTAGTCAAGATTTGATGATAACTTGATCTAAGTCCATCTTAAAAAAGAACTTAGTTCTCAGCAACTCATCGGTGATACGATGAGTTTATCGTAGGAACAGTTGTAACGACATACACATTGTCAATCAGTGATGACTTTAAAAAATTTTAAAAATATTTGTGATGCTATTATTTACAAAGGAACATTAGAGTGTAACACTATCAATATCAAAACATATTATAACTAAAAGGTAAAATATCAAATATCTTTTCATCGATTTATGTAAGAATTAATGGTTGAGTTTAAGAGGGGGTAAATTGAACTTTAGAAATATTTTTCGAAAAACACTCTTTCTTTGTAGAAGAATGATTAATCTTTATCCAATCTTTTATTAGGCAGATTTGGTTTTAAACAAAAGCAAGAATATAAACCAAAAATGAAAAGAGATAAAAGCACAACACAAGAGTTTATACTGGTTCACTCTTCCCAAGAGCTACATCCAGTTCTTGACAAATCTGCCAAGTTCCATTAATTCCAAGTGAAAATACAAACAATCTACCCAAAGAACTACCTTATAACACCACAAGATAGACTCTTGAAAAACCACCCAACAACCAAACTCAGTTACTGTAACCAGTGCAGATTCAAACCCAATCTACACAATTAGAATTCGTACAAGTATATGAAAAGAATAAACTTGGACTGCAACTTTTACAATATAGAAGTCTAGAAGCAATTTTTCTAACTCAGAACTTTCTCTCTTGAAGATCTTTCAACAATCTTGATCAAAACGCCTTATGATATGAAATGTGTATGAATGCTCAGAGAAAAACACGAATATGAGAGCTCCAAGATTGCTTTCAATTGATTTCAAAATTGTGTTTTTGAAAGAGAAATCAAAACTGTATTTATAGAGTAAAAGAGAGAAACTGATAGTTTCAATCAATTTAAAATTATGTTTCAATCGATTGATGTTATTTAAAACTCATTCAATCGGTTAATTCGAGTTTTTAATGGATTGAAACAGTTAGAAGAAAAATGGTAGCTCTCTGTTTCAACAGATTAAAATTCATTTCAACAGATTAAAATTCTGAGATACTTAAAAATGAAAAATGATATCTTTCTGTTTCAACAGATTAAACTTGATTTCAACAGATTAAAAATCTGAGATACTTTAAGATGAAAAATGACATCTCTCTGTTTCAACAGATTGAACTTGATTTCAACAGATTAAAAATCTGAGATACTTTTGAAATGAGAAATGGCTAGAACATTTTAATCTATTGATTTATCAATTCAACAGATTAATACTGTGAAACCCTTAATATGGAAAAATCATCAAGAACATTTTAACCTGTTGATTCTACGATTCAATCAATTAAAATATTGGCTGTATATATACATTTCCTATTTTAAGTGATTTTAACAGATTAAAACTGCTTTTTAGCAGATTGAAAAACTCAGTTTGTTCTTTCAAGGCTTAAAGATTGGTTTTTCATGCAGTTAGATAAATTCTATGAAATGCAACATTTATAAGCGCTTATCACAAGATATACTAAAATTATCAAGAGATTAAATTCTAAACCTATAACCTATCTACGTACACATCCACAAAATAAACTTTATAAACTCTATATGTCTTCATCAAATTCAACAAGTGCTTCAATTTAGACATAATTTAAATCAAGAAAGTATATATAAAACATAAGTAGAACGACAATTAGTAAATACAAAATGTTTAGAGTACAAGATATTTAAAGAGGCTCTAATACAAGTTGACCATTTATTATTGTCTTCTTCCCATAAAAAAGTTTGGTATTAATATCGAGACTAATTACAATGGCTTGTTTTATGACCTTCTTACACTCATCCTCATATACTTTCATCAGCTGCTCCTTAGCTACTCAGAACTCGGCCATATATTTATCATATGTCTATTGGAAATCGGTGACCCTCGAGTAGCTTAGTTTTCTCGATGGTCGCTTTTAAGGTCAACTTTAATTTTTTTCTTGGGTCAACTTTAGTCGAACTCTCTTCCTTATCGACCCTTTTATATTAAAAAATTATTTTCCAATGACATAATATTATTTTTGGAGACGAGAACTTCATTTTCTTTTGCCTTGACGGAGAAGACAACTTCAAAATTTGTCATTTTTGTAAGAAATTCTTCTTTTTCCTTACATATAGCTATTAACTCCTTCATCCGCTAAAATTCTCCCATATGAATGTCAATCATGATTTTTTTTACACATGTGAATTATTGATAAACATTGGCCTAGTAACACTTGGACCAAATCCAAGTTATCCTGAGGTTTGACAAGGCGAATCATCCCAATATCATGGAAAGTGAAATACCCATCATCATCTTGTTGACAGTCATGTTCAAGTACCACATAGACTCAGCTTTTTGTTGAGCGAAATATGATCGAGGCAAGTAAAGGGTCCCTCTGAGTCAGAAGGACGTAAGTCAATGGATAAGGAGGGGTTTCATGAGGAATGCATGGTCTCATTGGAGAAGTTTCTAGGGTTGGAAGATATAGAGCTTGAGCACCAACTGAGGTTTCTTTATCTATTCCCGTTTCAGGTTGGTCGAGCTCAATAGCGGCCAGGTTTTCCACCCTTTGTCTCTTTTAAGGAGCTAACCCCCTCCTTTCCTCCACAGGTAGGCTAGATGAGATGCCCCTGTGTTTAACTTGAGTCTGGTGGTAGTCAAATTTAAGACCCATAATTTCTGTAAAAGAACATGCAATGGTTATAAGACATACAATTAAGGAAAATATTGTAAATAAATCAAAGAATTCCTAGCCTTACCCAAGAATTTGGCTCTTGGGTTCTCGACAAATGAGATGGAGAGAAGGTCATGACAGTAGATAGGCTAAGGAAGACTTGTCAATATTTTGATATTGTTCTTATCCTTGATGGATGAAAGATGTTCGACTTGAAATTTAAATTTGTGAGAAACCTGTCACTATAGAGAAAAACATAGAGAGTGATCGAGATTAAGGAATAAACGAAGAGTTACATCCTCTCAAGCACATTTTATTTTGAAAAAACGAAATTTAAAACATTTGAAAGAAGAGGAACATATTATGAATAAACCGTTGTATTGGGAACCATTTAGAAAAGAGTGATGATATCTAAATCTTTAAACAAGAATTCAGAGATATGTAAAATCCTCATAATCTATTGGGGGTTCATATAAACCGAATCATAAGGCAAACACACCTTAACAATAACAAACTCAATATACGTTCCAACACATATATTATAAATTTTGCATATATTCTCTATGGAAGAGGCAGACGTGAGCTCAGAAACATAAAAATCAACTTCAGCAAAAATCCAAGTATACTCAAGGTCCAAAATGGGAGGTGTTTCTGGTGGAATTTCGATCGATTTCGATTCTAAGGGTGTTTTGGTCCTAATCAAAATTCTACCACGTAAGTTCTTTTTACTTAGGCTAGCAATTTGATTTTCAATCGAAAACGTGTATGAGAATCGAAAACTACAGGATATCGAAAATGCTGTTTTTTGGTGTTTTGTATTTAAAGTATCGAAAGCATTAAGACTATCGAATCGAAAAGCAGAATATTAAATTGCGAGGAAATGTAAATTGCGAAAACCCCAAACTTGCATTAATTGTAAATAGCAAGAAATCGAAAACAACGCAAATATAAATGACAAGAAATCGAGATTGCAAGAAATGTAAACAACAGGGAATCGAAATTGCAGAAATGTAACTGACGAGGATCTTAAACGCATAACCTTAACTTGCATAAAAATAAATGACAAGGAATCGAAAGTGCAGAAACTTAAAGTTGCTAAATGTAAACTGCATCAAAGTAAATTACATAAACATAAATTACCAGGGAAAGTAGAGAAAACGATAAAGATAATCAATGAAAACGGAAATCCAGAGCATTAGAAACTTCATGATGCGTCGTTCTCCTGTAGACTGTTCACTTGCGCTTCTGTCGTCTCTGCCAATTTCTCCTCCCTCCCCCTCTCCTCCTTTGCTCTATTTATAGGGTATCCTTCAAGCCTTCCAAGAGCAGTTAACACGAATGCTACCACGTTCTACGTGCGTATGGCCGTTTATCTTCTATATTTTCCCACGTTCTTCACGATCTCCGACTTTTTCCCATGATTTCAAAACTGCTCTTTATACGTGCATTCGACTTACTTCCTTTCACGATTTGGCCAAAGTCTCGATGTCCACATTGGTTTTCCTTACCCTCGATTCTGTATTTTTCGAGAACTTCGAATCGCTTACGATTCCTTTTTAACCCTGGTCTTACATGACTTAGTTTTTATTCGATAACAGTCATTTGATTATTATTCGTTCGATTCTCGATTGTGCTTCTCGATGCTATATGCTATGTATTTCTAATTAGACATCAAATGAATTTTTGTTTATCTTATCGAGTCACATTTCTTTCCTTCGATTTCGATCGCTTTTCTCGATTTGCCACTAACAAAATGCCCCCTTGGAAGAATATAAATGATTTCTGTTTTATATTCTTTCAATATTCCCGCCTTAGTGTTTGAAAGCCCACAGGATTTAGGGTTTAGGGTTTCTGGGGTTCTAGGGTTAAAAGGGGTTTTAGGTTTCTTTTCCACTTTACGTCGCCGTCTCGTCAGTCTGTTGCCTTTCAGTACAAGTTACATTAATTACCTTCCTTTCCGTCGCTTCCAACTCCCTAGACAATTTCCCTTTAATCTTTCCTTGGTCTTTACTCTGGTATTTACGCGAACTATCACCCTCTTTGCAATCTTATCTTCTCCTTTGAACTCCTGCCTTCGTCCCTGTTACCTCATCCGTTAACTCTTCCCTTTCTGTTTTCCTAAGCTTACTCCAATGGCCACTTCATCCAAGTCATCTGATTTCTCAACTCCCCCTCTTGCCTCATCCGCCGCTACCTTGCTCGGAGATTAACAACCGACGGTTTGCTCCCCGCCTTTGATGGAGGAAGCTTCCAAAAAGATTGCTGAAACACAGGTATTAGTTCATTATACTGTTGAGGGGTTGGTTTTGCTTTTGGGGCCCCATTCTTTCCGGTAGCGGAACTGCTTTCTCCCCTCACCCTCTCAAATGACCCCGCTCTTGTACATCGACCTGAAGTTAGGATCGATTTTCTGAACCTTGTTTCTAAGGTGTATCTGACAGGCCCTCCGTCCAAAAAACCTTTGTTCACTAAATGGTTTGATAGGGTCAAGGCTAAATTCGGGACCATTGGAAGAACGTGGGGATTTTCGATTTTTTACACTTGTCTCAATGTGACTTGTCCTACTTAGACATGGCTATGTTTTTGGCCGTCGTGCATTTGTGGAATAAGGAAATACATGCGTTGGAATTACCTTGTGGCCCTCTCTCACCTACTCTTTTCGATGTCGCAGCCATCACTCGGGTTAAAACCTATAGGGGAGAGATACTTTCGTGGTGCATATCCCTCGGATAATTCATTGAAGTCCAAAATTGATTGGGAATCGAAGGCCTACGGGCATTTTATTGAGAAACATTTTGTTGATGATCCCTCGATAGTCAGTTATCGATGAAGAACATGTAGCATTTTTGGTGTATTGGCTGTGCACCCATGTGTTTTGCCCCCGATCGATCCAAATTTCCCCCATCTATTCAACCTTGCGTATCTCCTTCACTTAGGTCATCCTAGCCTATGTTTGGCCAAATTTTTGTTAGCGCATGTATATACTGCTTTCGACGAGGCTGTCGAAATTTTGAGTACTCCTAAGGCATCGGGGAATTTTTCTGGCCCCGTTTGGTTTATACAATTATGGTTAACTTCAATTTTTGAGAGCGTCCTTCCTCGATTTTCTACTGTTTCCCCGAGTGTAAATATAGAAGGGGCCCGATTATCCTCTCGCCATCCTCGCCATAAGTCTGATGAAACTACCTATTGTAAATACCTTCACTTTTTGTTAACTAGATTCGATTTCGATTCAACCTTGGCCCCTTTTACTGTAAATCTTGGACGAACAAGTGGCCAACTTAGGGGGCCTATTTGGTTTAAGTCAAAGTTTCCTGCTTCAACTCCTGGGTTGCAATTAGAATTAGTCGATATATGGAGTAACTACTTAACCCAGGATATATTAGTATCGGGCTTTCACCCCAAGGATTTCAAGTTTACTACTTACTACCCTCAACTTTTTTCAAGACAATTTGGCCCGAGCCAGTCTTTACCCTTTTTCCCTTTAAATACCTTCCCCAAATCCAAATTGACTGAGTCGAACATCGGCCGAGAGCTTGCCAGATTTTTGCCAAGAACCTCGATGCATCTTTATCCATATGTATTTGAATCGAATTACTTATCGACTGTGGAATTTTCTCAATGGTGGACCAATTGGTTTTCGAGTAATCGTGCTGTTTTTGACGAGGTTCGACAGAAACTGACTGCTCGTCCTTCTCTTGTGTTGCAGGACAAGTCGAAAGGGAAGAAAGGTACACACTTCCACTGTCTCCAAATATCTCGATTCGAGAATTTTTATCAAATATGTTATACTCCACTAAAACTAGAATCGACCTTTTATGATGCTGTCATTTCCTTATCCCGAAAAACAGATACCAATAGATCGAACCACAAAATAATTAATCCTTTAGGAAAAACCCCTTTTGAAATGTATTGTCCCGATCGCCTTCCCACTTTTCCTACAACACCTTTTGGACTCGCAAAACCTTTAACGCATCCCAAATGGGTTCGAGAATTGAGAACCCTTAAAGAAACACATCGCCCAAAACCCAAAAACAAAGACATTTCTGTATCGAAATTGTTTTACTTTCCTTACCTTAACCTCCCTGAAGCTCTCCTGCCTCCTTGGCTAGTACATATTGATCGAGTCAAAATTTTGACTCCATCACCTTTTGGTGAGGTTTTATTGTTTTTTCTCAATTTTCAATTATGTGTTTTGGAAACTGACTATCTTCATTCCTCGACAGTTTCAAAATCTACTAAGGTGATCGCCTTCGAGAAGGCACAAGAGAAAGAAAAAGACGCAAGCTGGGAGTCCCCAGATGAGTCGGACCCTCCGGCCTTTACCAGAAAGCGAAAACAATCGGCCACCACCACCACTTCGTCTTCGAAAAAATCGAAGGTATTTTGTCTCATTCATTTTTCTGTTTATAACATGTTTCCTTATGGATTCTCATATCTCTTTTCGATTTCTACCCTACAGAAAAAATCGAAGAGTCCACGACCAGTCCAACCATCCACAGCAGATCCATTATCGATGGATTCTAACACCGTTCCCTCCACGGGTCAAACAACACCCGTCACCCATTCTAGTCACGTGAGTTTCCTTTTTCTCTAATTTCCATGTCTTAGATTTTGATAAGACTTGTATCATGACTCACATTTTCGATAAAATTTTTAGGATAATCCATCGGCGACCATATCGACAACTGTCGAAACTCAGCTTCAGCCTTCAACACCGATCCCTGAGGTATAGTTCTTTTTACTTGTGTGTGTCTCTTTTTATGTCTATATATTTCCTTCTCTAATCAAGCGTTTCGATTTACAGCAAGCTGAGACTGTACAGACTCTCCCACCTATCTCAATGCCGCTTGCTCTTCCTCCTCCTGGTATTTTCCCTTTATGCTTTCATCATTGGATTCTTCGTTTCATCCTTAATTTAACTCTCTGACTTATCTTTTCGACTTGTTTTCTTTTTTAGTAATTATTCCCACGGTTCAAATCCCAGACTCCCCATCTCCCACTACCACAGAACAAATGGGTTCTCACCCATTCTCGATGCCAATGGTCGAGCTAATCTCGCCAACTTTGCCTATGCTGACCGGGCCCACTTCAAGCGGAGTGCCAGAATATCGAGCTGCTATCGAGGAAGATCCATTCGCAATCCTCGATATTCTGGTATCGAGCGGCGCCACTTCTTCCAGCCAGTCTTCTCAACCACCTGCCCCCTCGACTGAAGGAGCTTATCAGCTCAAACAACGCTTCCGGACCTTCTTCTACTCGTCACCTCTGGAGGTCCTAGTGGAGTCTTTTGAACGGAAATGACTTTTCAAGGAGATCTTGACCTCCCTCGAGTCTTTTCCCGAAGGAATGCTTCCCAAGGGCTTCGATGCGGAGATTGCAGCAGCCACAGATCTGTTCAACCAGGCTTATGCTGCAAGGAAGAAGAGACAATCCATAATGTCTAAAGTAGCTAAAGTCTCTGCGTTCCAGGTTGAGAAGTCTCGATTTGTTGAAGACTCGAAGCTTAGTCGAGGAGAAGTTCTGAGTGCGTTGTCTTCGGTTGAAGTCGAAATCGAGGCGTTGAAGAAGAGATTACAACAACTGGATTCGCAGAAGGAGTTCCTTACGTTAGAGTTAGATAAGATTAACTCTTCTGCGAAAGAGGTGGCGCTATCCTTAGGTCAGAGCATGGAGCAAAGACATAAGTTGGCCATTGAAGAAGCATCGATTTCATCATCCTGGGCCCAATTGTTAATAGATTTTGAGAATCTAAAGACTCAATATTTGTAAACATTACTCTTTTAATTAATGTTAAATATTTATTTCTTTTATTTGAGGTTTATATATTTTTAAGTACTTTCCATTTATCGATAACACTTTATCTTTGTCATACCAATCAATAATCGAATAAGCGTTACTCGATAAAATTTTAACAATCTCGAAAGGACCTTCCCAATTTGGTGACCACTTCCCATAGTTTTTACATTTCTTGTCCATTGGTAAAATTGTTTTCCACACTAAGTCACCTTCGTTAAACTTTTTCTTTCGAACTCTTTTATTATAAACTCGAGCAATTTGATTCTTCTCGCAACATCATACTATTCAACGCCTCGCACTCTTACTTCATCGAGTTCGTTTAATTCATCATACATCAAACTCCAATAATCACAACTCGGGTAAATCATTCCGCCTCGTATTCGATTCGATTCAATATTTATTTCGATGGGTAAGACTCGCGTCGTGTCCATATACCAACTTGTATGGGGTATTTTGTAAGGAATCTTTAGGTGAATTTCGATAAGCCCATAAAATTTGTAATAACGTTTCATGCCATGTTTTTGGTTTATTACCAACATGCTTTTTGATTAGCCCAATGATCACTTTGTTAATTGCTTCGACTTGCCCATTGGCCTGAGCGTAATATGGGGTTGACGTTAATAATTGAATATTTCTCGATTCAGCGTATTTAGTTATCTTTCTACCAGTAAACACTGTACCTCTATCTGTAGTGATAGACTGTGGGATCCCAAATCGATAAACGATGTATTCTTCAATAAAATCAATTACATCCTGCTGATCGGCATCCTTCAGTGGTATTGCTTCTATCCATTTTGAAAAGTAATCGACAGCAACAATTATATACCTATGTCCTTTCGATGATTGTGGGAAAATCTGTCCGATTAAGTCTATAGCCCAACCTCGAAAAGGCCAAGGTTTAATGATCGAGTGTAATTCGCTCGCGGGCACCTGTTGTATCGGACTGAACTTTTGACATTCTTCACAGGACTTGGCATATTCGATACAATCTTTCAAAATCGAGGGCCAGTAATAACCTTGTCGAGTTAATGTCCATTTCATTTTCTGACCTACCGTATGAGCCCCACATATTCCATTATGTACTTCGGCCATTGCTAAGTAAGCATCATCATTTCCTAAACACCTAAGTAATACTCTATCGATTCCCCTCTTATATAACTCATCATTTAACAAAACATATTTCACTGCTCGATATTTAGTTTTCTTGTCAATTTTCCCATTGGGATTTTGCAAATAATTTATAATCGATTTTCTCCAATCTTGATCATCTAAATCATTAATGTACAAAATCTCATTTTCTTGAGGTAATTTTTCTTTGATTTGAATTATTTCTTGTAACCTTTCCGGGGATATCTTATACTTCGATGCAATTTGTGTTAAGTCATTTGCTTCTTGATTGAATTCTCGAGGAATATATTCGAATATTATGTCATCGAACATTCTACTTAAAGTCATCACTCTTTCCAAATATCTGATCAAGTTGATATTAATGCATTTATACTCTTTTCACACTTGTTTGATCACTAATTGCGAATCACCTCTTATAACCACATGTCGAGCTTTTAATTTGATTAAAGTCTCGAGGCCCACTATCAAAGCTTCATATTCAGCTTCGTTGTTCAAACACATGGGTTGAACCTCAAATAATAACTTAGTCGGAATATTGTTTGGAGAAATAATCAGAACTCTTACTCCAGATTTATCCGATG